AAGCCGTCCATGCTTGTGACTGCCACCACCTCCTGTGGCAGTGAATTCCACATGTTAATCACTCTTTGGGTGAAGAAGGACTTCCTTTTATCCGTTCTAACCCGACCGCTCAGCAGTTTCATGGAGTGCCCACAAGGAGTTCTTGTATTGTGAGAAAGGGAGAAAAATACCTCTTTCTCTACCTGCTCTTTCCCATGCATAATCTTATAAACCTCGATCATGTCACCCCTCAGTCGTCATTTCTCCATGCTAAAGAGCCCTAAGCGCCTTAACCTTTCCTTTGTTATGTTATTTAATCTTGTTAGCCGCCTTGAGCCTGCTTGTCAGGCAAGGCGGGGTATAAATACAAACAAAGAAACAATAAATAAATAAACAAATAAACAAATAAATAAATAGTTGGCTGGAAACAGGCCCTCTAGGAGGTGAGGAGATGCCTGGGCCATGTTCCTCCTCTGTAGGCAGAGGCAAGGCTGGGAACTATGCTAGGTCCAGTGACAGCAATGCAGGGAGGCGCAGGAGGAGGAAGAAGAAGACATTGAATTTACACCCCGCCCTTCACTCGGTGTCTCAGAGCGGCTCACAATCTCCTTTCCCTCCCCCTCCCCACAACAGACACCCCCTGTGAGGTAGGCGGGGCTGAGAGAGCTCTTTGGAGGACTGCTCTTGAGAGAACAGCTCTGAGAGAACTTGTGCCTGACCCAAGGTCACACCAGCAGCTGCAAGTGGAGGCGTGGGGAATCAAACCCGGTGCTCCCAGATTAGAGTCCGCGCTCCTGACCACTACACCAAACTGGCTCTCAGATAACACTTATATACCCTTAGAGCGATGTAGCGCCCCCTAGTGTCCAGGCACCCTGAGTCGCTCACTCCAACACCCCCTACCACAGGCTCTGTGGCCTTGTAGTAGTCTGCTACTCTGTGTGTATGGGATATTGTGTGTATGTTGGGGGGGGGGGGAATTGTGCTGTGAGGTCTATCTAGCACCAGCCCTTCTGTGCTTAACTAGAAAGTGCTGATTAACTAAAGATCCGAGGCAAATGGACAATGTGTAAAAAAGAAACACACCAGGCAGTATCCTTTTGGGTTTTATAAACATAAAGGTTAGGGTCGCCATCTTCCAGATACACATGGGCACATGAAGCTGCCTTATACAGAATCAGACCTTTGGTCCATCAGGGTCAGTATTGCCTACTCAGACTGGCAGCCGCTCTCCAGGGTCTCAGGCTAAGGACTTTCACATCACCTATTGTGTGCTGTTTTGGACACCGCATTTTAGGAAGGATGCTGACAAGCTTGAGCGTGTCCAGAAGAGGGCAACCGGGCTGGTGAGAGGGTTGGAATCCAAGTCTTATGAGGAAAGGCTGAAAGAGCTGGGTGTGTTTAGCCTGGGAAAGAGAAGGCTTAGAGGGGACATGATTGCAGTCTTCAAGTATTTGAAGGGCTGTCATGTAGAAGATGGAGCAGATCTGTTCTCTCTTGCTCCAGATTGCAAGACTAGATCTAATTGGCGGAAATTACAAGGGAGTTAGTTCCGGCTAAATATCAGGAGAAACTTCCTAACTGTCAGAGTGGTTGAGAAGTGGAACAGTCTGCCTCGGGAGGTGGTGGACGCTCCTTCGCTGGACGTTTTCAAGCGGAGGCTGGACAACCATCTTTCGGGTATGTTGCAGGGCTATCTTTCAGCTACGCTCTTGCAGAGTGCAGGGGGTTGGACTAGATGACCTGCAAGGTCCCAACTCTTAACATTTTCTATGACTCTATTCAATGATTTATGGTAACCCTGTAGGGTTTTCGAGGTGGTTCAGAGGTGGTTTGCCATGGCCTGCCTCCGCATTGCCACCCTGATATTCCTTGGTGGCCTCCCATCCAAATACTAACCAAGACCAACTCTGCCATCCCGGTCGGGGCCTAAGAGGGAAACAGAATAGTGAAAAGGGTTTAAAAGTGTTTTTCTACTTGCATGGGGCGCGGCCCTGACCCGAATGGTCTCCCCTCCACTTGCACAGGAATTCTGGTTCACAGGTCTCTCCTGCTATGTGAAATGCACCCTTTTATATAAGTTCTATTAGCATAGCTGCGGGATCTAGTGTGGGTGAGCAGCCGCGCCACCAACGCATTGCATGTTTTTTTCGCCCAGCCAATTAACCGGGTGACTTTCAGCCAGCTGATAAATTAATTAACTAATTAAATGCACATATTGTGAAACCTCAAAGAAGATATTTCTGAGGCACTCAGAGGAAGGTGACAGCGTGTCAAAAGTATGCGTTCATTTAAAATTTAAAGCAGCTCTGCCAATAAACAGATCGCAAGGTGTCGACGCCACCTCTGCTCCTCGCTCGGCTGCACCTGCCTTCCCACTCACGCGTCCCACTGCCCCAGTTTCTCTGCAGCCGCCGGGGAGAAAGAGAGAAAGCCAGTAGTGAGTCTTCTGGCAGAGCATTGCTGGTCGAATGCAACTGAGCAGAGGAGAGCCTGCATCTACCTCTCCGGCAAGGAGAGGATAAGAGAACATAAGAACATAAGGGAAGCCAATGTTGGATCAGGCCAATGGCCCATCCAGTCCAACACCCTGTCACACAGTGGCCAAAAATACCAGGTGCCCTCAGGAGATCCAGCAGTGGGGCCAGGACACCAGAAGCCCTCCCACTGGTGACCCCCCCCCCAAGCACCAAGAACACAGAGCATCACTTGCCCCAGACTGAGAGTTCCTATCTATACCTTGTGGCTAAGAGCCACTGATGAACCTCTGCTCCATATGCTTATCTAATTCCCTCTTATAAGAACATAAGAGAAGCAAGTGTTGGATCAGGCCAATGGCCCCTCCAGTTCAACACTCTGTCACGCAGTGGCCAAAAATACCAGGGGGCATCAGGAGGTCCAGCAGTGGGGCCAGGACACTAGAAGCCCTCCCACTGTTGCCCCCGCTCTCTAAGCACCCAGAATACAGAGCATCACTCGCCCCAGACCGAGAGTTCCTCTCTGTACCTTGTGGCTAATACCCACTGATGGGCTTCAGCTCCATATGTTCATCCAGTTCCCTCTTATAAGAACATAAGAGAAGCCAATGTTGGATCAGGCCAATGGCCCATCCAGTCCAACACCCTGTCACACAGTGGCCAAAAATACCAGGTGCCCTCAGGAGATCCAGCAGTGGGGCCAGGACACCAGAAG